TTAACTTTGAACGACTCAAATGAAATACCATTTCACTTGTTCGGCTTGTAGAATGTTCTAAAAGAAGCTCGCTAGATGTAGACAATCTTGTCTGTGACACCTCTGAGATACGTTAGTGCAGCATGCACACGCTCGACTGTGTCCGGCTTCACTTGGTCACCATGACGTAGGCGCGGGACCCGAAGCTTGTTGTCGTGCAGAACCTGCTTGACGTGCTGAAGCTCCGCGGCCAGGTGGTCGCTGTCACAGATCCATCGTGTTCTCTGTAACAAAGATTTGCCTATGGTAGTTAACTCTTAATGCTGCTGTATTTCGTATGGTGAGTGTAGAGAACCGGAGACCCTTTTTACTGGAAACGAGGCATTCCATCTTAGTCCTCACGGGTGACAACGCATCTGCATTTTGATTTTTAATGGAGGATAGATGTAGATGTCTATGAGCCGCAGCAACTACTTACCATCAGATGGACTGTGTGCTCGTTTATCACCCTATTCTATAAAAAAAAAAAAAAAAAAAAAAAGGATGATGGTGATATTCAACGTTTAGATATCGGTTTGGATTGGTCTTTTTTCTAAGCACAGTACGTCCTATGGTGTTGTTAGAATTTTGGATGACTAACACATCTAGGAAAGTTCAGGAATTCTCCAGCCTCTAACTCCATAGTAAATTGAATTTTAGAGTTTATGAAATTAAGATGTTCTAAAAATGCAGTTACTTTATCTGATGGTAAAATTGTGAAGGTATAGACTACGTAGCACTTGTAGAATCTTGTAGTAAGAGGTGTAGTAAGGAGGGCTTTCTCCTCAAAGTCTTCCACGAATATATCGCCGGCAATGGGAGATACAAGTGACCCCATCGCAACACCATCTACTTGCTTGAAAAACTCTTCCTTCCGCAATAGATAGCCAGATGTAAGGCAATTTCTGAGTAGTAATGCAATTCCTGGTGGCATGTTATTTTCATCTTGTTTCCTAGTTATAATTGAGATGCAGTCTTCAACAGAACAGAATAAATAGAGGCTGAACATCAAAACTGACCATTGTTTCATTGTCAGTAAGATGTAGGTCTTTTATCTCACTGACAAAATGGTACGAATCCTTATTGTGAGCTTTTGTGTGTGTTCTGAGTGATGATAATATTGTTACGCGATGGCCGGTTATCATTAGCGCCATCTAGTATCGGGTAGCAAAACTAGGAGAGCTTTCTAGAAACTTCCATACTAGAAATATGACAAGTGGTACGTAAACAATACTTTCACAATTTTACCATCAGACAAAGTAACTGCTTTTTAGAACATCTTAATTAATTATCATCTTAATTATAATTGAGTTAGAAGCAAATAATTTCTTAGCTTTTCTAGATGTGTTAGTCATCCGAAATCCTAACAACACCATAGGTCACACTGTGTATAGAAAAAAATACCGATACGAACTAAACCGATATTTAAACGGTGAATCTCACCATCATCCTTCACAGTTAGCTACCGTGGGCAATTCTTTGTTACAGAGAGCACGAGGGATTTGTGACAGCAAACCCCTGGCCACCGAGCTTTAGCACGTCAAACAGATTCAACAAGCTTCAGGTCCCGCACCTACGTCACAGTGACCAAGTTAAGCCCGCCACAGTCAAGTTTTTGTTTGTGTTTGCTTTTTGCTTGTCTCTCACCATTCATCAAGTGGCATATTCCTCTACAGATGCAGAAGTGCACAAGCTTGATTATGAATGTGGTCTCTCATACATAGGGCAAAAAAGCTCAATTAGAACCCGCTTAAATAAAACATAGCTGACGTGAAGCATCAACGTTCCGCTAAGTCTGCAGTTTGTGATCACATCCTAGATGACCCCAACCATTTCATCAGATTTGATAGACCACAAATTCTCGCGAAACAACATCGTGATACGTGAGGCTACTGAAATTAAAAAAACATTCTAATTTCAATTGAGAAGGAGGCTGGGTACAAATCAACTGGTTTTTTATTACAGGGTCCCGTAATTAATAAAATTAAAACTAAACCGAAGCATACCATTGCAAGACTTCAAAACATAGTGAGTTCATTCTGCGTAGATCGAACCAAAAACAATAATTAAAAAGCTGAGGGCGCTGCGGGTTAACATAACATCGGGACTTCAGTCACCTCAGTTCCCCGTGACCATGGGTGCTGGAAAGCACCCGAAATGTCAGGTATTAAAAACAAAATAAATTAAACGCGATAAAATCCGTAAAAGTTGTTTTTGTCAACCAGTTATTAACTCATAATTCAAATCCCAAAAGTAAGTTACACATTATAAACATATAAATACTACATAAAAGTTTTAGCTAATAGCTGGCTTTACATTCCTCCAGCACGAATGAGTCGGATCGACCGCGGGAGGATTCGGCTCTCACAGAATACCAGCGTGAAATAGCTGAATAATTCTACTGTGTTTCTTATACTGGAGACCCTTTTTAGTGGTAACGAGGTATTCCACCTAACTCTTTAGGGGTAGGGATAACGCATCTACATTTTGATTCTTAACCAATGAAAGATATAGATAATTAATAGAATCAGGCTTTTCTTTGCGAGAATCCATTATATTAAAGATGGTAAAAATCAATTTGCTAAGATCCGCGTTATGAAATATAATGATGTGTCTTACCTTGTACGAAGAGCAACTTCAATTACGTGCCTTCAATTACGTTCCAGTCCCTCAATTACGTGCACTATTCTTATCATCGCTAATCCGAGCGCCGCTACCCCCAACACCACTACACCAGGAAATACACACCACCGTTGATAATATGACAAATGTTTCGCCTCTCCACGAAGCATCTTTAGGTGAAGTAGACTCTGCGATCGCTTTGTTAGCTGTCAGCCAAGGTCATTATAGTGGTGTTGGGAGTAGTGGTAATGGAATTAGTGATGACTGGGATAGTTCACACAATTTAGGGAGGGCGGGAGGTGCTCATCAAACTAGGTAGAACACACCATTTATTTTACTACGCCGTTCATAGCAAATTGATTTTTAAAATCTTTAGTAGATATAATGTCTATGCGATATAGCATCCAAAACACAAAAAAGAAACACATTTATTTACTTATTTATTTATATGGATCTCCAACAGTTGTACATATTAAATTACTTCTAACACATGCTTTACATCTATAAATTACTATGTACTACCAATTATAGGAGAACACATCATTCTAAAACTATAGCAGTGTTTATAATTTGCCTATTTTAATGGCATTAATTTTAAAATGATCCAAAAGTCACATTGTGGTAATTTAAAACAGGTTTAATTTTACCCATTAATGAATTTATACTCTAGGATTTTTATATCAACTTTAAGGGAGACAAAAATTTAAATTACAAATACGAAATAAGCTTCCCTGTGGCTTTTTACCCGAAATCTTGAATAATTTAGACTTGACATGTTTAATTTCATATGTGAGTAATAATGTGATTTAAGTATAATATTTTTTAATTCTCTTTATTTTGGCACAAACAGTAACAAACATTTTATATATAAATAATATTTCTAAAAAAACAAAGAATGCACAAGGCATTGCATAATAATTTAACATTATTAGACTCATAATTCAAGGTCAATTACTTGTTATGCTATTCGCACTAAGCACTGCAAAGACTGAATTCATTATATTATTTGCCATATCATAGCAAAAGCTATCAGTTTTGAAGAAGATTAACCATCTCGCATTTATACATATACAAAATTCAGAAAGCACCGACAGGAAGCAGCTTAAATTAAGAAACGTCCGTAACCACCGCCAATGAAAACAACCACGACGAAGTATATACCAATATACCAATGAGTATAATAATACTCTGTGGTTTTTTTTAATTAAAGAAAACATTTAATTTCAAGACACTAACTTAAGCAATTATATGATTTTATGGATCATAAATCTATTAAAGATTATCTATTATTTGTTACATTAAAATAATGTCTTAAAAGTTTAATCCTTTCTTCAAAGTCAAGCGACTTAATTTGTCAATTTCCAAAATAATAAAGATTATACTTCACCCTTAATACCAACTTACAGCAGAGAGTCTAAAGTTATGTAAATATAAAATTTACATAATTCTAAACTTTTTGACGTTTGGGGTTTATTATATATATATATATATATCTTTTTCGTAAAATTACTCTTTCATAAATAAAGGTATTAGTGTTTAAAAGTGTTTTAAACACGTTTAAATTCTAACCAAACGTATTTTGTTTTGCAGATTAGTCGGCGCTAAAGTGCCGGCCTGGCATGAGGCGACCGCAGCGTCGAGCTTCGTCCCTTTACCTTCACTGCTCACCTCTTTGTGAATCAACCTTCAAAAAACCCCAGACCCTTTTTTTCCTTCCCGCTGTAATCATGTTTCTTCCCCTCATTAAAACACAAATAGTCGTTGAAAATTCAAATCAAACTGAACATTTCTTAAACTTAACTATTAATCATTTAAATATTTATCATGTTAATAATTACAAAGAAACGACAGGTAACTATTCCAAAGAGCTTATCACTAACTTAAATACTTTGTATTCTATATTACCTGATAGACCTATAGCAAATTATAATGAAGTAGATTACAATCAAACAGATATTAACGATAATGATGAGTCTATAGTAGAAATAAAATCCTTACCATATATAATAAGTAAAGATGAAAATTTCACTATATTTTCGAATATTCCTATTGCTAACAAATATACCAATTTAACAAATTTCGGTCAAATTTCAATTGAAAAAGATGACTCGACCAAGAGTGTAGATCTATTTGATAACAATACAAATTTAATTCAAGTTATACAAGAAAATAATTTAGATACAAACGAAAATGTTTTAAATAATTACGTAAGCGGAGCAAAAAACGAATCAATGGGAAAATTAAAAGTGGATAAAGCGACACAAACAAAAATATTCCACGATTATTTTACAACAGTAAAAAAAACGGTTCAAACGAAATCAACCCAACCTAAAATTAGTTATAATAAAAAAGATATCGACATGAGAGATTTAAACGGAACGATTAATGAAAATAATGATTCTATAACTGAGATAGATCATATTATAAGCCCAGTATTTTCAAATTATTCATTATTACAACCCGACACATCCCTTTCTCCTCCAATGACAGAAATATTGCAATCAACACGCCACCGATTCAGAGAAGGTAAGTACACATTATATTATAATTTTGGACAATATTTCAATGCTGAATTTGTGTTTATATATAAAATAATACGGCAATTTACCTTTCAAAAATTTTATGGCTTATTCGTTTATTACATCCCACCAAAAGTCCATAGCTGAAAAAACTCTTTCCCGTGCGGAAAATGAACTCACATCTATGCAGCAACACAATCAAATGCTTAACACTGTGTAACCGAATCATCGTCAATGCCTATGAATTGAAATAAATTTACTTTCTCACTATATAATTTAATTTATGAAATAAAATATAACAGAAATAAATTGAGTCGATTATCGGATATAAAAAAAAAATTATAAAACGCTTCACAGCTCCAAAAAAATAATTAAGGTCAAAGGTATCAGCGGCCTCTTGTATTTATTTTCAAATTAGCTTTCCCTTGTAATGAAGTTAACGAGGCGCGTTTTAACAATTTATTTAAAAAAAAGTGGCTCAGGGGCGCTTCTTTGAGGAACAAAGATTAATAATTTAGCTAAAATTATAACAGCTTATTAAATTTAAACCAACCATGCAAAATTTGAAACTAAATAATTACTTTAGGCAAATTACGTTTTTATTATGCTAATGTAATTATTTTTGAAATTGAGATTACATTAACAATAATCGATGAAGAAAATTTTGGTAGTGAAAATTTCAACCTTAAATTTAGAAAAAATTGCTTTCATTTTAATTCTTACCAACTTTTCTATACACGCGTAGTGAGAAACAAACTTACAGTCCACCTAGCCAATTCCGACAAAGAAGGCTAAAAAAGCGTCACCACTGAGGACTACGATGAAAAGCCTCACAGCCTGTCATTGTACTGTCATTTACTGGTTCTCTATGGCCTTAAGGTCTGTCTGCACTGCTACTTGGTGGCAGAAATCCATCTATCCATTACAGCCTATAAAAGTCCACTACTGATAATTCTTCTACTTCTGATAAGGGAGGGATTTGGCACATATGTAGTTGCGTCGTTTGGTGGCGGTTTCGCATAAATTATAATTGTTACCCAGAAGATGCTGCTAACTATTTCCCGTTTTAATAACCCTGAACGATATGGAGTAGTGGATATTCTTACACTGCCACTACAAAGCCGACGACAGTCTAAGTAGTTACTTAAGTTAATCCTTTCCCCTAGACATTACCAATTTGTAAGTCAATCGGTTCTACGCTCACCAACCTACCACACATAATAATTTTAACTAGACCAAATTTCGATCACAGAGAATAGTCTACGATGACAAATGTGCACAGGAAAGGATTCTAAAGTACGAGTGTCACTCTCTTAATCCGTTGGGAACGCAATACGATACGGTCGGATAAAGAACAGGTGCAGGAATACTGATTTTCAAGGCGCAGCAATTCTGTTTGCAATTTCTGACTCTATGCTGCGGGTTATTCCATTTATCCACCCTAGAGTGGATACTCGGAAACAAGTGTCCTTCTATCCACCCCAGACGGGGTGGATAATCGGAATTAATATATATTATTTTCTTCCGACTTTCCCCCTCGGTTTTGTACAGTCATTTATAGAAACATGAAAAAACTAGACATAATAGACATAGTAGTAGACATTATCTATAAAAATATTTACATACTTCTCGTTTGAAAGACCACGTTGTAATAAAAGGAGTACCCTCACAGGATTACAGATTCATTGCAAATCTTGGAATAAAATAATTTAAAATAACACATTAAAAGTTACGAATTTATCCAGGATATCATATTATGTCATGAAATTAGTGTTGGTAATTGCCTGGATATATTGCAGAATATTATAAATTACGTTATAATGTTATTTAAAACGAGGAAGTTTAATTTGATTTAAATGCAATACGTAATGCGTGGACTTTAATAGGTTGTAACGGTAACGGTGACGGCAACACGTCATAATTTTTTTGATAAGGTTTGTGGTTATCAAAAATTAATTAATGGTGTGAAAAGTCGGAAGAACCAAATAAAAGTGAGTTCCGATTATCCACCCCGTATGGGGTGGATAGATAAACACGCGTTTCCGGGTATCCACCCTAGGGTGGATTCTTTAGGGTGGATAAACGAGATAACCCTATGCTGTTACTGAAAAACCCAGTAACTGATTTTAGCTCGATCTGTGATTTGAATTCGGGACCTCATGATCAATTACTTTACTGTTTAGCTGTGAACTTAAAAAGCTTTAATATTTTTTTGATATAATGAACTCAGTTCCCAATCAATTCATTTAAGTACTGAATTAAAATTTTATGCTTTTTAGTTTACATTTTTAGACGGAGCTCTGCAGTGCCCTTAGTCAACCTTCTCCATTTTTTTTAAAAAACCACGTTACATGATCTAAAACGTAAATTAAACCTTCCATTAATTTCAATTTGTATCACACGTGTTGCCAACCACAACAAACGAGTAGAAATTTTTTATTAAAGAAAAATGTGTTCGAATCCATCCGCAAATTCAATCGAATGCGAAATTATTTCACACACGTACGCTTCTGCTCCTACTGCTTTAATAAATTACCGAAAGCTACGACTTCAGAAAAAAATGTGTTTATCATAAAGATAAATTGTGCGTGAAGTCAATATAAAATAATTTACCTCGCAGGTGATGGATACAGCCGGCTTTTACAGCTCAGAATTATATCAGAACAGATTTTTTTAGTATAAAACATAAATACTCTGGCCATATAGCTCAAAGAACCAACAACCGATGGAGAAGAAATGTTCACGTGTGCCAGCTTCGTACCAGTAGACGAAGTGAAAGTCGGCCGCCACTAAATATCTAGTGAATCACTCGAAGGATTAGCGATCTGGTAAGAGATGCAAGAAGTCGGTAAATGCAGGTGGCTTAGAGCCGTGTTTTGTGGCGTTCCTTGGAAGTGGCCTACGTTCAGTAGTGGACTTGTAATGAAGATGATTATCATATTGCTACAGTACATAAAAGTGACGTTACGGCCTATATACTTCCCATTGCTGGGCACAGGCCTCCCCTCATTTCTGAGTCGGTTTTAGGGCAAGGAAGTGTCCGCCGCGCTGCCCCAATGCGTGTTGGCGAACTTCACATGTCTTCAAAAAATTTTTTTCTTATTCTTTAGACATGCAGGTTTCCTCACGATGTTTTCCTTCATAGCCGAGTTCGTGGTATATCAGCACTTAAAATTGCGTATTGTAAAGAAGATTTGCCTTAAACATAACCTTACCTAACCTTAACATAAACATAACATAAACGTGATAAAACCACGTTGCAGCTATATTATTACGAGCTTGAGTTTCGTGACAATAAAAATTGCCGATAGAATTACCAAAATTAACACTTTAATTTTCTTTACACCAATTAAAACTTAAAACACTAATAATTAATCATGTATTTCGCCCGAGCTTCGCTTGTCTCGCCAAATTCAATACTGCCCCGATCGCGTATTGCAGAGCCTTTAAATACACCTTTTTCACCGAAACATCCAGAATATTCAGGTAAATACGCGCGCCAACCGACCAGGTGCCGAAAGTTCGAGTGTGGGGCTTCCAGAAATTTTAATTCTTCTGTTCGATACTTGACGGCGCTGTTGGTCGAAAGTCAAGATTGACATTTACTAGGAAGCGTTCCTTGCTCTCGTCCCTGGCACTAGATGGCGCTAGTGCCGCGTACATGACGTCAACTTAGGCGCGTAACAATATTATGGTTGTATTACGAATGGGTCGGTTCTGCCGAGGTAGAACCACGTTCTCACAGAATATCTGTGTAAAATAGCAGCTTAATAGGATCTTAGTCCTCAAGGGTGTAAAGCATTACATTTTGATTCTTAATCGAGGATAAATGTATATGTATATGGGTCTATTCACCACCAGGTGGACATTGTGCTTGTTTGTCACCCACATTCTATAAAATATTTTTTAAATTTAATATATGTAATTACCACCACCAATACACTAGAACATTACTTGGTTGAGATGTGTCATCCATTGAATACAAGCTATTAGATCAGTTCACGAACCTTAAATAAGTCATTATGTAAAGCACCACAGTGACGTTAATCGAATAAGTTGTCTTGCACTGCTAACTCGTGAGAGGAATATCAATCTTGCTATTAAACTGGAATAGACGTCCGACGACATGCGTCTGATGGATTTAGTAATAACCCTATACAAGTAAATTCGTTAATCAAACATACAAATTAATTTATTGACATATATGACAAATATCGGAATGAATATAATGGAACATTTATATATTTTAATTTAGTTATTATAATATATATTTTTAAGGTTTTTAGTATTAGTATTAGAATTTTTTTTAATATTATGTAACTATCTATAAATAAATACTATAATATGAAAAAAAAAAATAGAACATTTTTTATTGATTAAAAGTATTAATTGATTCATACTTTTACTTTAGGTTAGGAAAAACTATCTGCCTTGGAAAGAACCGGCAAGTAACCCAGATGGACCCTTTTTTTTAATCTTAGTTTATAATAGAGTAGCAAACAGTTTAAATCAATTTAATTACATATTAGAAAAGCATGGTAGTGATCACTTTATTCCCAGGATTAGTCGTATTGTATTCTTTAATATAATATACGTTTTTATAGAACACATTATTTTATTATTGAGGAACCAAAGTTATTTTATTTATTTCTTTTATGTTTGTCTAAGAGACTATACTACTACTGCGACGATTACTACTATATCGGATTTAAATTACAAATATCACAGATAAAAGTCTCTTTTCTACAAATGAAAAATAGTGTCAATGTGTGTCGCGTTGCTCGATAGCAAGATTTCATACTATATTATGCTGTAGAAATAACTGGATTAGACAAATCTTGCTGTTTCAACACAACTAAGGCTTCCGAACTTTATTGCATCGTTATTACTCTCTATCCACTTACCATAAGCTAAGCTAAAGACTTTGTGATCATTTTATACCTTTATTCTATAAAAAATATGCTTACCCTTGGGCTACTCCGGCTCTTACATTAATAGAATTATTTG